AGCGTTCGGTTTATATATCCACACCTGTCCATGATTCAAAATCGTTATGCCGCATGTTGCTGCAGACGGGGAAAGGTGGTCGAGGGGTACCCATGTTCCAGATGGTGAGATCCAAGACCAGTTCTTAGCATCGTCAGCGATTCGCTTCAAAGTAAGTTTTCATCAACAACAAAGCGCTCCGCATTTCGTTCCATTCTCATTTCTTTTTTTAAATTACGATCGATACAATACATTACGAGAATGTCGAGTTTCTTAAGTTCTTAATTGTAGTAAAAGCATTAGAGCAAATTATTCTTCTGGACAATATGACGATGACATCATCCGACATCATCACGTCATATTATAAGCTCTCTTCTTTCTCACGTTATTTTCTCGCGAGAAATTTTATACCGAGTTTTATACCGAAATGGACAAAAAGATTTTAAATTCTCTTTCTTTTAACATTTCAAATAATCAATTATTCTTTACAATCAAAGGTCGGATAAATATAGGCCCAATTCGCGTATACTAAATGCGATTTATAGTCTATTTATTTAATAAACAGTCGAATGAATCTACTTAAAGCATGTTGTCATTAATTTAATTTTTTTATCATTATTAATTGCGCGACATTGCTGTAAGAAATTATAAAATACGCCATGAAAAAATTCATTAGTTAAAAATTCAAATAATGTTCTAATTATTTGTCAGCGAATCTTATCTTTCGATGGTAATTAATCATTTTAACAGAATAAATCCAATTTAGTTTTTGAATTTGAAAATATGTAATAAAGATAATTTCTTTGAAACAAAAATTTACAATTTAAATGCAATAGCTAACAAACAATAAATTAAATATTTATAGAAACATACAATGTAAACGAGAATGAGATAAGTTGAAAGAAATACAACTACCGGAATAATGACTTTTATATAATGATTCTTTTTCCTAGTTATATTTATAGTTTGACTATTTAAAAATTATACTTGAAATTTATAAAAAATACAACTTTTGTTAATTTTAAAGATCTTCAATATCTATTTTAGAATTGTTTAGAATTATTTAGAATTGTTTTCTTTTGCAATGATTTTTCTTCCACTAGTTTATTTAAATTGATTTCATAAATAGCATTTAGATCATTAAAAATAATATTAGAGATGTATTGTAATGAAAATACAATATATCTATGCGAATGTGGCTTCTAACTTTTTATAAGTTAAGTTTTAAATACAGAAAATAATATTTCGTTTGTTTGTAATAACAATTTCGTTTGTAGTTGATTGATAAAAAAATACAGCATTTGAAAAAACATGATTGTCATCAAACTATAAAATAAAAAATACTGAGATGTAATTTAATTTAAAATTATTTATAATTATTTTCCTTTAGCTTTTTCTTTCGTTTAACTGTTTATTATTAATTATATATCAATTATATTTTATGTTTACAATTGACAAAAATTGCTATTTTATCGATTTGAAACATATATCTCAAATCCGCTTGTGACATATTTTTTAGAATCAATCACAACTGTGTTTGTTATTTTTCTTTCGTTTAAACAATTCAAAAGTGTGACAGTATATTTATATTTAACAGAAAAATAAAACTGCCAATTTTAAATTTTGCATTTTTTGTCAATTCCAAATATATTGTAACTTTTGAGCAATTTAAACAAGTTATAAATGTAAAGAAAATCATTTGTTAAAAAAATCTTCATGAGAAATATTTTTTCAGAAGATCCAAAGATGAATCAATGAAGAAGTACAGTCAAGCTTTTTAATTAATAATATTTAATTAATAATTTATATAATTTTCATTAATTAATAATTTAAAAACGAGTAATCATGTTTATTATTTTAAGAACGAAATAAATGTTAAATAAAATTGAACATCATGTTATCAACATTTATTTCTTCGTTGAATTCATATATTCTTATCATGAAACAATATAGAAACATGTATATGAATGAATTTTGTTATCTCTCCAATGTAACATTTCAAAATATAACAATTCTAATAAAAATGTTTAAATTTACTTTTGTATAATTTTGTCTTTCCTCTCAAACAAAAAGAAAAGCAAATATATTGTTACATTAATATGCGATTATTAATATAAATATTATTTATACATTAAAAAATGCTATTTCGTAGTTCATCTAATCACAAGTATATTATTGTCATAATATTTTCTAGACAAAGAAAAGATCCTAGGAATAAATAACATCCTTTTGAACACGCAAAATGAATACTTTTGTTCCTTTTTGGCTGACTTTTTGCTGGAAACCGCAAGGACAAACCGCAAACTGCCTCAGAATTTAAAATAACTCCAGTTTCGACCTCGTTACGAGATAATAAAAACTTATCATTTTTTTCTGTATTATATATATGTATGTATGTATGTTTGTGTGGATATGTTTGCGTGTATATGTGTGTTTGTATATCAGCACATGCTTATGCGCGTTTCCATCATTTTCTTAACAAAATTCAAGATAGTATATATTATTAATAATTCCTAATTCAGCGACTTCGGATATTTTTCTCGCCTACATCTCTTTAGGGGTCAGAGGGAAGGATAGAAATTAAAAATCTCGATTTGAGATATATATCCTGAATAAGACTTGGCATTGTACCAAGTACCAAGGAAGCCTAATAACCAGTTTATTTCAATATACTATAGCATATATAAAGAAGTATTTATGCAAGAAAGGAATGTATGTAAATAGCAAATATTAGATAATAAGCAATTTTTATAGAAATATGATTTACTGCGTGATGTAAATTTGCCTATATGTATAATTTGCTTTTTGCATATATATCTGATTACATTTTTGTAATCATTGTACCGTTTCATGTACTGCCTATTATACGGGGTGTCCGATATTATAACTGCTGAACTTGTGTGCAAGTAGATTAAATCGAACTATTTTTGCAATAATTAAAGAAAAATTAATTAAAAAAAAAGTAGACATCCCACTGTTACACTGTTACACGATTGCTAGGAACCGCAATACATAATTAAACTTGACTATTAATGTCAACACTTTGTCACATGTCTAGTATGGATCTTCTTTAATTATCTTCTTTAATTGTTCATTAATTATTGCAAAAATCGTAAAACAATAGAGGATTTTCCTCGGTTTAATCCGCTCTACCTGAAACACGAGAGATCCGGCAATTATTATCGGACACCCTGTATATATGTCTGATTACAATTATGAATTTATTTGTGCATTAATTCGTTTAGCTCTTTGTTGAATTAATAAACGAAAATATTTAGTTTAAAATGTATGCGCATCTTAAAGATGTGTGATATAAAATACTGTTTATTTCGATATGATCTTCATTAAGATAACGCAAAATGCATGAGTTTGATTTGCATCAGCATTGCGTTGCAAATTTATACTGCTGTAAGGACATTCCCGAGTCACATTATACATATGCAACGGTAAGTAGTCGCGTTATACTAATTAAGCCGTTTCCATCCGAGCAACTTGCTTACAGGCACATATGGATAAGTTTTTTTATTACATTTTAATTTAGAGATCAAATATGTGATTTATTATTAGACAGATGAAAAGATATTCAATTTAAATTTGAAAAACATTTATGACAGGAAAGCAATCAATCCAGCAATTCACCTTTAATTACGTGTTCTAAAATAAAAACTCGCGTATTTTATTTATATACATCTATACTCTATACCAGTGATTTTTGACCAGTGTTCCGCGAAATTATGAAAACACGGCGTATCTACTTAGAAAAAACTACTATAATTTTTAAAATTTTAAGAATATTATTTTTTAAATTTAAATATTTTTATTGTACATATAATCTATATTGTCATAATTTTTAATAAAAAAAGTATGTTCATGCATATTTTTGTTATTAGTTTTATAACCTTAATGATTTTGGTATTCTGCAAATTTTTCTTATAATTAAAAGTGTTCCGTAACTTGAAAAAGGTTAAGGATCATTGCTCTATACTAATATATAAAGAGATAAAGTTTGTTCGGTACTATAATTTTTTAATTTGATGAATATTATTTTTTTAAATTTAAATTAAAATTTTTTACTGTTATATAATCTGTACTATATAATTTTAATAAAAAAAATATGTTCATACATATTTTGTTATTAGTTTTATAACCTTAATAATTTCCGTAACTTCAAAAAGGTTAAGAACCACTGCTCTGTACTAATATATAAAAAAGGTAAAGTTTGTTCCATTGTTCGAGGTAATCTCGGAAACTACTAAACCGATTTGAAAAAATCGTTTACTGGTGGATAGTTAGGGTGCCGTCATACAACGTCTATACAAGCCGAGTACTAAAAAAGAACATAATCGAACAAACGCCAGTAGTTATTAATTAAGCCATAACTTCAAAATGAAGTAACAGAATCGTTGGTATATATAAATTGTTTTCTACAATCGATCGTTCATTTTTAATCATTTACCTCGTCATTTACTAATCATTCAATTTAATCGTCTTTATAAATCAATTAAATTATATTGAAATTTATTACAAACAAAACTGTCAATCGATAATATCAGTAAAAAAAAAGAAAAAAAAGCAAAAATTTTTTGCAACTTCGACTCGTAAAAGTAACAATCGTTCGTATATATAAATTTGTTTTCTAATCGATCGTTCATTTTTAATCATTTACAAATCATTCGATTGAATCGTCTATATAAATCAATTAAATTATATTGAAATTAATCACAAACAAAACTGTCAATCAATAATGTGAGTAAAAAAGGAGGAGAAAACCAAAAACTCCGACTTGTAAAAGTACTCCGGGAATTACTGCCTTGCCATTGCGTTTGTTGTAGATCCTTGAGATGGCGCCACATAGCGCATTGAGTAATTCGCTAATAATTGCTAGAAGATTTGTGTCTCACAATATATAATATAAGCACAGGCACATAATGACTTCTCTTTTTCCAACGTTGTCCCATTTCAAATCGTGCCACACTAATCGCGCTGATAAAATATTAACGTTAAAACGCTACGTCACTTACCGGTGCAAAATCCGGCTTGTTGTAGCACGTGAGATATAACCTCGTTCGCGCACTCACTAATAAAATCGAGTCTCAGGAAGAAACGCGTTTAGAAGAGGCACACTCGAATCCATATATCCGTAGGTATATAGGTTAGAGAATTTCTTGATTATACACTTATATATATATATATAATATATATATATATGTATGTGTTGTGTGTGTGTGTGTGGTGTTGTGTGTGTGTGTGTGTGTGTGTGTATACGATCACAACATCACGCGTGTATCACTCACTATTGAGGCAACAGACAATGAGTAATAGACATTGTGAGGTTAGGACAGCATGAACACGTAATATAATATATGTATGTAATGCGACGCGTGGCGCGATATAGCACTTTTTTATTTCTAAAAATGCACTCGAGAAAAACGATAAATAACGGCGTGACAGGACGCACAATCGTCGCGATGGTCGGCGCGGCAATGATTCCGGGTACATTGGCTCGCTGCAGTCGGCGATGGTGGGGGACCCAAGTTCCGCGACAGGGGGAAGACGGTACTACTACGCGCGTGTTGGTGGAGGGATCGGCGGTACGGTACAGAGAGGGAAAGAATTCTATAAGCGAGAGAGACCGTGTGCGAGAGAGAGGTAGCAGAGAGATACATAGTAAAGTGGTGGCTGATTTGGAGGAAGGGGATATATAGGATAGTTTCTAAGGGGAGCAGCGGAGCGAGCGCGTCTCGGAAGGTTGGGGCAAACGGCCGTTTGTATAATTTTTTCTCTTTTTGAATAGCACATTTTCAATATACTGGCACTGACGAAGTAATATTAAAGACAGTCAGCCCTGGGTAAATTTCTGTCTCTACTGATTGTAAGTAGGTTCATCATGGGTTGATAATCATGCGACAATAAATAACTAATAAGAACGTTTTATCCACTGGATTTTCTAAAGGCAATGTTCAGATATAAAGTAATAAATTTATTTTACAACATAAAATATGTGGAGTATCTCCGCGCTGACTCGAGTCGTGTGTTAGTTTGATTAATGTCTTGATTTGGTCATCATCAATGACCGACGACCTGCCGGAGCGATGTTGGTTTTTAACATTGAAAACATCACTTCTAATAACCGACTGAATCACTTCTGTACGCTTTGCACCACCTTCATAAACTTCACAAATTTTATTTACGTTTGTACAGTACTTTTCTTTTTCCGAAAAATAAAACATCAGATAGTCATAATATATTATTTATTTATTTTCCTTTTTCCTCCATTTCCATTATTTTTGTATTAAAAGTTAACAATTGCAAAACCATGCACCAAAGCAAAAAGATGCGTTGAAATGTTACCTTTTATATAGCGGGAGATGTTAATACCATCTATTGAAAATCTACACGAACTTTCGTTACAACCTAATAGTAATAATATTATAATATAGTGAATGATGCTGTTACAGTGCCTGATGACACTTAAGATTAGATAATGGTGATCCATTGTATCTCTTCACTCTTGTAATTAGCTAGGTGTTTGAATCCAGCCTGGAGCCTATTCGACCCTTGCTATTTCTAGGTCTGGAGGACTTATAGGATTTCCAGAAATGAAGTTTACCCAAAAAGTTTAATAGATATAAGTATACGCTTTATTCTACATTGTGTGAATATGGAATTTGAACGAAGAAAACGGGAAAAGAATTATAAATATAAATTCAACAGAATGGTGTTATGACTCACACATCTCGTGAAACTATGATAATTTTAAGAGATCTTTCTTCAGATTGCTTATTACATTTCCAGATCTTAATAGGAATCCTGACCTTACAACTTCAGACTACTTTTTCTGATGTTATCTAAAAAGAGTTTATTTTTAGATATTTATAGTAAGTTCAACAATTTATAAATGAATAAAACACATTATTGAAGAAATAAACAATTGATCACCTGCAATTAAGTAATTAAAATAATGATAATGCTGTAAAAAGTTCAAATTTGTGAACGGTCTGTAGGCGGCAATTAAATAGATATAATTTTCCATAGCTAATACAAAGTTTACAGCCAAAAGAAATCAGAAAGTGACTTTTAGCTTATCCTGTATCGATTATAAATGTTAAACTGTTTATCGACCTGTTGTAATTTCATAACATAATAATAAATCATGTTCAAATCATAGATATAATTGAATGCAAAATATGAAAAAGGTCACGATTATCGAATAATAAAGTTTAAAATATCTTGTTATAGAACTTATTACTTTAAATTTAAAAAAATATAATATTTATATTTATCTCATTACTTTAATAATAATTGATGAAAAGCGCATATACGACTTCAAATACATGTCAAGTACATGGGAATAAGCGAAAGTGTGTAGTCTTTTAATGCGCTTGCGCAATGTTACAATTATTACCAGCGGAAATATTTATCTCACGCGTAGCATGTCATACCATATCGCGTGCTGCCGTGAAAAATCTTCGTTGTAACTGCTTGGCTAGTAACGCGATCGCTTACGTCGATTAAGGCAACATGTGTTCGAGGAGTGTGTAAACACAGTCATATATTGTGCTTCAAAGTATAAAAGCAAATGTACTTTAATGTCTACTATAATATATATATATATTATATATATCTATATATATATATAATATTATACGTTTACATGAACACACACTATACTTTATTATATTATATATATATATATATATATATATATATATATATATAATAAAAGTATAGTGTGTGTTCATGTATCATACAGAGAGGGAGGAGAGCGGAAGGAGGAGAGAGTGAGGGGGAGGGAGGGGAAAGAGAAGGGGAAGAAGAGAGAGCTTTAATTAATTATATGTTTACTACAAGTTTACATACAAGTTACATCTTTATTTAACAAATTCTTTATTTTGCCTACAATAAAGTTGATATATGTAGTCACATATACTGAAAATATTGATTTATATATAGTCTCCCTCTCCCTCCCTCCTCCCCCCTCTCTCTACTGATTTATGTATTATAAATTGATTTAAAAATTCAGTAATTTAATGATAAAATGTGCGATTTAAAAAGTATTTTATTTAGATGATTTTAAAATAATCTAGATAAAGATAAAGTAAAAATATGTAAATTTATCTTAAATAAGATAAAGATGATTTCGTTTTAAATATAATCTAAATAAAAGATAAAATATGTGGCAATTTATCTAGATAACTTCCAGATTACTTTTAAGACCGCTTATGTAAACACAATATAAAAAATGTAACTTAAATATAAAAGGAATATAAAAATATATCGTACTTTTACCTTTAAGTTTTTATCGCTTACTGCTTATGTTCTACTGCTTAAATATTTTTGTGTTATAGTTCTAAATCAAATTATCTGAACAGTATCCTAGATAGTTTGCTAAAGATAACACTTTTTTCATCTAAGATGGAAAGATATAATACATATACAGATATAAAGTATATTTTTATTATTTATATCAAAACAAGATGACACCAAAATTTCATCTGGATGATCATTTATATAATTTTATTTAAATAACAGCAAACATTGGTAATAGAAATTTAATTATTCTTGCTATCCAACGGTTATCCTCTTGATCTAATTTTCACAGAAATAAAACGCAGATTGAAAAATCTCTCAACTAAGAAATTTAACAAGCCTAATAATAACAATATAACAGATACTAATAATATTAATACTAACATTAAATATTTGTCATACCATATATAGAATCAATATCTGAGACAGTTGCTTCAGCAATAAGAAGACCTAACGTAGTGGTAGGATATCGTTGCATTAAAAAATTGAATGACTTCATAAAAGTTCATAAGGACAGAAATAATTGCCCCACGAATTCTAACGTTATTTATAAATTGAATTGCAACGATTGTGACGCCACATATGTCGGACAGACAAAAAGACAGTTAGGAACGAGACTTAAAGAAATAAAAATAATATTAAATTAGACTCTGCTAGACATTCGGTTGTCACGGAACACATTCTAAACGAACAACATACATTTGACTGGGACAATATTAAAATTATGGATCATGAAAAGAATTACCATAAAAGACTAATATCTGAAATGATCCACATTAAAGAACAGAAAAATGGAATTAATTAAATAAAGACACCGAATTGTTAGACAGTAGTTATTTTGACATACTTAGTAAAATTTGCTGAATCATATTTAGAAAAAACATTGGTAATAAATAAATACATCACGCTCTCTATTTTGACATTTGTTATTCAGACTTCGCAACACACACTTGAAATATCGGGAAAAAGGACTTGTTAAAACGACAATGTAAGTTGAAAGATTTTTTAATTTTTTCTGACATTGATTTAATTCGCGTATTACATCCGCAGCATGTTTAAATGTCGCATAACTTGGCATCTCAGACCAACCGCCTTGCAATCTATGGTCAACAGCGAAGAATCGTTTTAATTTTATTTTTAATATTTAACTAACTTTGTATTTTTAACATTTAACTTTGTATTTTAATATTTAACTTTTATGTATTGATAAAGACTGTAGTGCAGTCGAAACGTTTACAATTTATATCGTTTCTGTAACGAAATGTTATTTTAATTATCTAACTATTAATAAATTTTTACACCTTATTTATTTGCTCGTTTAGTTGGCCTACTATATTTGATTTTTTTAATTGTGTTAATTATTCTTCATAAAAAATCCATTGATTTGCACTTAATAAGAAATGAAGTTTTTGCAAAGAAATAAATGAACAATAAATTGTAAAAAAAATTTAATTTATTGTCACCAATTCTGTGAATCACTTATTACAAAAATGAAATAAAATATAAAGATTATTCTATACGAACAGTGCATTATAAAAATATATTTTTTATATTCAATAAGTATAACAAAATAAATTATTGTAATAAAATTGATTAGATATGGAAAAATATTAAAATACTATTACCGCGCGTATAATTTTTTTATACGCATGCGCATTATATATATATATATATATATATATATCGATATATATAAATTATAATATATAATTAATTTCAAAAATCATTTAATAACAATGATATGGAAATAACAAATTGCGCTAAATTTTTCTTCGAAAA